ATTCATGATTAAATTAAATATAAATATGTATTTATGCAATGTAAAAATTTATACACCCCCCATATATATATATATATATATATATATATATGATATATTTTCTGTTGATACATTATTTTCACTGGAGTAAATGCTCTGTTTTCAATTAAAAATAATTAAATACATTTACCGGCGTGAATGTCCAAAAAATTTCATAGAAAATATGTGTGTGTGGATGTGTGTTTGTTTGTCTTTTCACAACCAAATATAAAATATTTTCAATAGATAGATAGATAGATAGATAGATAGATAGATAGATAGATAGATAGATAGGAATACTGATAGGTAGATCGATACTGACAGATATCAACAGACAGATATGTACAGATTTAGATAGATAGATAGATAGATAGATAGATAGATAGATAGATAGATAGATAGATAGATAGATAGATAGATTTTCATTATACAAAGTAAAGGAGAATGAATATTATTTATGATTCATAAAGTTATACCTTGATGACTGATATTGAGGTAAAATCTATTCAGAAATGGGCCCGCAAAGACACACTCATACACACAGAAACACAGACATATATATAGAGAGAGAGAGACAGACAGAGAGGAAGTGAGAGAGAGATGAAGTTACTTGGTATGGTCAACATCAGTTATTAGCTGAATTTTCATCTGTAATGTTTATTATTAAGCAATATCCGAATGATTATTTCACAGAATTAAAAATTCAGATATGTCTGTGTACAAATATTTTTCATCATTAGCCCACTGACTTATTGGCCTCTCTGTCTATCTATCTATCTATCTATATATATCTATATATATATATATATATATATATATATATATATATATATATATATATATATATATTTATTTGTTGGATAGGTGTGAGTTTGTGACCCTGGGTTTCACGCTTTAGCGATCGTCAGACAAACAATAAGTACCATGCATATAATATATAAATAATTATACATATATATATTTATTTATATTTATATACACTTTTCACATACATATATATATATATATATATATATATATATATATATATATATATATATATATATATATATATATGCATACATACACAACGAAAGAGGGACAATTGTATAAATATATATATATGAATATATACACACTCAGACAAAATGAAATACTGAGAGTCGTATATATACATATATATATATATATATATGTGTGTGTGTGCGCGCGCGAGCGCGTGTGTTTGAATAAATAGAGAGTGTGTGAGAATATGATAGGGAATGTTATATATATATATAAATGCGAGAAGTAAATAGTAGTAATATGTATGTATGTATATATATGTATATATATATATATATATATAGTATGTATGTATATATATATATATATATACTAAGATATATACATATATATATATGTATATTTCTCTCTCTCCCTCTCTCTCTCTCTCTCTCTATATATATATATATGTATATATACATACTAAGACCTTGATAATAAAACAGATTGAGATAAAAATAATTATAAATCTTCAATCTATAACAGATAATATATATCATATATATCTTTATTAATAATGGAGATTTCTCTGAATATATTATCATGTTGTTGAACAAAAGCTCGAACTCTCTATTGCTCTCTCTCTCTCTCTCTATTGCTCTCTCTCTCTCTATATATATATATAGAGAGAGATCTAAATCTGTTGATATCTGTCAGTATCGATCTAACTATCAGTATTCCTATCTATCTATCTATCTATATATATATATATATATATAGAGAGAGAGAGAGAGAGAGAAAGAAAGAGAGAGATCTAAATCTGTTGATATCTGTCAGTATCGATCTACCTATCAGTATTCCTATCTATCTATCTATCTATCTATCTATATATATATATATATATATATATATATATATATATATATAAAGTGAGAGAGAGAGAGAGAGAGAGTGAGAGACAGAGGGAGAGAAAGAGTTGTCGTCTAACATGAAAAAGGTGCTGATTATAAATGCATTATTGAATGTGCCTTTGCTAAAAGAATTGTACCTATTGTCATTGATCACCGCTTGTCGAACTTTTCGTTCAACCGAACGCTAGGTTTGAGCCCGGTTTAGCCGGTGTGTCATACGTTTCAGTAGTGATGATATTCAGTCTCTTGCTCGTCGCTGGTGGAAGCTCAATGCCCGTTGTCACATCATTACTTGTCAACTGATGTTCTCCCCCCTTATCCGATTGTATGACTCTCTAGGTGACCCCTTCTGGCCTGGTAATTTTGGGTCTGACATTTCCATATTAGTTTTATCAGTCTATCTTTTTCTGTGATTGAGACAACTTGGAAGAAACTGCCATACGCCGATGCAAATGTTGGAAAAAATTTATAGACAACAGATAGACTTGCCAGTAGAACGTTGACCGCCTTCGAAATTCTAAGACATATGAAAGCAGCGAATCATTGGGGGTACTCACACAAATCAACAGCAGAATAAAGCTTGAAAGATTAACTTTTTACCTTATTAT